TCTGGGTCTGTCCTAGTGAGCAGGTGACAGCTCAGAGCAGCTCTGGGCTCCTTGGTTCCAGGCAAATATTTGCAAGGTAAATTTGTTCTTTTTGAAGTAGGGTCTCAGGTAGCCAGGCAGGCCTTGGACTCCTGGTGTCCCATCTCCACCTTTAAAGACTCACAGGCTGTCCACTGCATGGTCTTTAGAAGGTCAGGCCTGCTCTTTCCCTCGCACACGGCAGGCAGAAGAGAGCAGTTGTTTAATGACTCTAGCAATGTCATACACAAAGGGGAGCCATTTCCTGTGACCTCAACAGTACTGGGCCTTTTACAACTGGAGTTTCTTTCACAGAGTAGAGTCTTGGTGAGCATGCACCGGCTCTGTGGTCTATCCCCAGCTAGGACCCGAGCCGAAGCCCAGCATGCATCTTGAAGCCGAGTAGCACTGACCTGCACTGATGCGTCGCCCATGATGAACTTGGCGCCCTCGATGACAGCCAGGTAGGAGAAGCGCAGCTGGTCGGCCGTCTGGATGAGCCCCATGCGGAACCTGCGCATCTCCAGCAGCACCTTCCTGATGTCCACGGAGGACGGGTCCTTCCTCTTGTCCATCTGCAAGCCAGGGACACTGGGTCAGCCAGAAGAAAGCCACAGAGGGGCGGGTGGTGGAGGGTCTCAAGGAAATGGAAGAAAAATGCAGCAAATTTTGGGACCGTTTGGGCCTGAGCTGAAAGAACTTAGAAAAGAATCATGGGTGTTCTAGGGTACCTCACTCCTGTACAACTGGCAGAACCCCATGAACAGAGGTAGAAGGGGCTCAACCATCACCAATGAAAACTTTAAGGTCAAAGGTCACAGCAGGGTGTCTTCCAAGGAAGGGGCCTGTGGACAGTGACAGGAACTCTAGCCAACAGGGTAGGTTCAAGTATGTTTCCTCTCTTTGTAGGCTAGCAGAGCCCTCCTCACCAGTAAGAGGCAGGTGTCTGCCAAGCAGAAGGTCCCCGACCTGCCGATGCCAGCGCTGCAATGGACCACAATTGGGCCGTGATCCGGGCTGAGTGAGCCCGACTCTCGGACTTTGAATAGGAAATTGAGGAAAGAGGCAGGTGACTCGGGGACTCCAAAGTCAGGCCACGTGGTGTAGTGGAAATGAAGAATCTCTCGAGCCTCCTGGGTCTGAAAGAGACACTTGCTGTTAGCTGAGTGCATTGTCCACACAGACCCCACATGTGCATCAAGTTACCTCCTACCCAGCCCTCCTCAGTGCGTACGGCTGGATCTGACCACGGCCGTAAGCAGTGGACAGTCTTCTTACCCTTCTGTTCCCTCTACATGCACACATGTAGCCACAATCATTTCAGATGGAAAGTCGTCATGATGTCACTGGCACCTTAAATCTCAGAAAGCCTTCCTGTATGTGTGTGGGGGGCACATCAGGTCTGGGTGGCCCAGGGAGAACACTGGATAGGTCAGACAAGTGTTACTTTTCAAGAAGTCTCCTAAGACAGGATTGTCAATAAGGTGGCTGCCATACAGGTGCAGCATCAGCCATGACTCCTGTGCCAGACTGCCGGGGAGTATTCACACCGTCACTACCTCAAGGACCACATCCACTTCCATGGCCATCTCAGTGCACCTGGAGCTGAGCAAGACAACATGGCCTCTGGTGCTGTCTCTGCTCTTTCCTAGATGCTCTGGTGTTTTACCTTTCTATATGAGCCATCTCACCAGCAACATAGTCCAGTATTTAGTTAAAGGTGGCCACTGCAGACCTCAGAGGGCAGGGCCCCAGGGCTGCAGAGAGGGCCAGCAGCCTGTGGCAGGCAATAATTGGGACACAGACACCTAAGGCTTGACTTCCTGATAGAAAGTTGCTATCTTTCTGCAAAGTCCAGGAGGTCCTGCTGTAGGACAGACAAACATCAGAGATGTGGCCACCCCTTCAGAGTGTCTACTAGACCCAGGACATTGTACACAGCTGAGGGACCGTCTGGAGACCCAGGACATTGTACACAGCTGAGGACTGTCTGAGACCCAGGACGCTGTACACAGCTGAGGACCGTCTGGGACCCTGCAGCAGCTCTGCCCACCTTGCTGCAAAACCAAACACTACTTGCACTGGGTGCAAGGCAGGGGTATCTCAGACATGAACACTGGTGTAAGCCCTAAAGAACATGGGGTTCTCCTACCACATTCCTCCTGCCTCCCCTCCCTCCACAGGACTCTGTTCTAGGGCCCAGGAAGGTGCTCAAGCTGAAACCCTGAGCCAGCCTTGTGTCTAAATCCCAGCACTCTGGAGGCAGAGGCTGATGGATTGTAGATGTGAAGCCAGCCTGGACTACTAATAAGACCTTATCTTATACAAACAACCACCCTCCAAAAGTCCCAACCCAAACACAGCCTAGGCTCTGCTGTCCTCACTCTGCCATGAAACTGACAAGCGTCTGGTGCTTCTCTGAATTGTTTCCCTTAATAAGCAGATGTTTTCCAGAGATTATCTGACATCACGTTTAAAGCCAGGCTGACAAATAGTGGAAAGCATCAGAAAGGGTCTGCCACACCCCACCACGCCAGTCACAGTGAACCCAGAGCTGCAAGGACTGCATCTCATGCTCCAGACTCCTCTAGGAGGCCCTGCCAGGGCCTCACCCCTCTCTACCTCCAGCAACCTGAGCTAAATTCTAGAATTCGTTTTCCATAAGGAGGGAACCACAGGGAGGTCTAAGGATATGTGACTGTCCCTGCGGCAGATTCCAACACTTTCCCATGGCCTGGAAAGCCTCACTCCAGTGGTGCGCCCGCTACCCTATCTCCCCTCTGCTCTCGGGATCCCTCATACCTCCTGACCTCTCACCTATGACCTCCCAGAACCCTTGCAAGCCCTAGTCTGAAAGTAGAACAAGCAAGCCACAGGGAGCTGTCCCTTGGGCCGACCCTACCAGCGGGCAGAGTGGGCCAACAGTGGCTTCCACAATGCCTGAGACTCATATGGCTTTAGTCACAGCTCTGTGCCATGGGCAGCTCCCTGCTCCTTATCAAAGGGTCTTGCCATGCCCCAGGACCTTTTCTTAGTGACGGAAGCAACAGACAAGATGACTGTCCCCACAGCAAGTCCACCCAAGCAAGGCCTGGCTTAGGAATTTGCAGCTGCAGGAAACCTGGGTAGTGCGGGGAGCCCGCTCCTTGCAGCAGTGCAGACAGTGAGGAAGGTGCAAGCTCTGTCGTTTCTCTTGCAGATACCACTGCAGCCACCAAGTCCCACAGGTGGAGCAGACCACTCTCAGGTAAGACTGACTTTCCCTTGGACCTGTGTTAAGTGGTGTCAAGGATGAGTCCAGTGGGAGGGGCTTGTATGCTGACCTTCACTAGTGCCTGGGCCCTGGCTTCTAGAACAGCAAGCTCTGCTCACGATGGGATGAAACAATACTGTGCACAGGGCTCAGAATTCCTGGGAATGCCACAGTTGAAGTTAGTACCCTAGGCCTCAGATCAGAAGGAAGTTACAGTCTGGAAGGACTTCACACACATGATACTTACAGCCAGGTTTTCCAGCTCCAACTGCCGTACTGTGTAATATGACTTGACATCTTCAGAGATTAGTGTCAGCTTCAAATTTGTGTCATCAAAGACCATCTCCTTTTCTTCTTCCTGTGGCCAATACTGGGCACATTTTAACTGGGGGGAAGAACAGCACTGGTTACTCTGAGCACCTGCTACACGAGACAGGAGGCCTGCAAGGCTGTCTTCCAGCTTTCTGACAACTCTGGCTGGGGTCTCCCAGTCAGTGCAGCTCTCACCCTAGTAAAACCAGAGCTGGTTGGGACCCTGACCCAGTAGCTTTGTGGCAGGGCTTACACTTCTCATCCAGCAACTTGTCACAGTGGGCTCTGGTCCTTGCCGTGAGGTAAAAACCATACCACACAGAAGCTGTGCGCCTCACAGATGCCTTCAGTAGTATCTCAGTATGCCCAGAGCCCCTTGAGGAACCCACAGGCAACAGGGTGGGAGGCTGGAGCCTTGTCAGGCTGAGGGCTGTGGGAGACCATGTGCAGGTGCACTCACCCCTCCATTCTGACTTGGTTCTGTTCAGAAAAGTATTCCCGACATTCTCTTTTGCTAACTTAAAAAACCATTTGATGATCAGGAGTCAAATGCTCATTACAGCTTTTGATGAACCAAAAGATCTGGGCTGGATTTAGGAAAAAAGATCCGGCTGGAATTCAGTCACAGTCCCTGTGATCTAAGTTCAGCTACTGAGGCATTCCTGCTGCAGACAGCTGCTCTGGATCTCCAAGGCAGGACTCAGAGTGCCCGGGCAGAGACCTGAGACCGCCTTGATCCTCCCAAGGAAGTGTAGCAACCTGCTGCCTGGTACACAACACAGAATTCACATGCCTGACCTGTACTAGGGCTGGCCCAGTCTGCTGGAGAGATGCTTCCTCCCTTTAGGGTGGGTGGATGGGGAGAACACAGAGGGGAGACACTGAGAAGACCTGGGGAATCAGAGGAGGGGGAAGCTCATGCTAACCAAGCAAAGAGGTCAACGGAAGCTCTCTGGAGAGAAGATTCTGATGGCTGACAGGACAGTGTCTTAAAGGAATGCAGGAAACAGGGCAAGGAGTGCCAGAGCACAGTGAGGCTGCAGCAACTAGGGACCCAAGATATCATCTCCTGAGGGGCTGGGAGGAGCTGAGGCTGAAGGCTGGACTATAGAGGCCACTGCTGTCACTATTCTGAGCTCCAAAGCTGCCCTCCACAAAACCAATGCAGAAAGAAAGCCCCGAAGAAAGTGAGGGCCTTCCACTACCCACGGAACGGGAGCCTTCCAGTCCCAGGACAGCAGCTAAGCGTGCTTTCTCAAGAGCTCTATTTCAAGGTCTGGCCTACTCAACCCAAGCCTCCTCCCACCTTTGAGGACCAGGGCCAGTTTGTCAGCATGGCGACAGACCTCCACATCAGAATGCAGAGGCCAGGTGCCAGCGAACTGTGCATGCAGAGACTTGAATGGGTCACTCCTTCCCAGTCAGACCACAGGCTACCCATGCCAGGGTAAAGGGCTGTCAGTACGGAAGAGGGAATGGGTGTCTTCACCTCGGGGGCAGGGCGACAGGCTCTGACCTTCACTTCCACAGCAGAAGCCCAGAACAAGCTTGACAGATCTTTAATCTAGGCAAAATCTACAATTTCAAAGGCATTCTGGCACACAGCCAAATGTCCATCAAACAACATTAAATTAGATGTCTATAGGACCATGTTTGGCTCTGTCATTTCCCGTAAAAATTTCTGCTTTAAACACAAAACAAACAAGAGAGTACATAATGCCTCCTTCCAGTTAGCTGATGCCACCCACATGCTGCCATGAGCGGAAGTCTGACTCTTACTGGAATATGAGCAGGCCATCACCGGGATTGACACCAAGGCCTTTGGTCAGCCCCAGACAGGAAGGTGGCAATGCCAGTGTGCTGGCGTCCTGGGTTTGATAGTCATTTCAACCATGAAGCCTGATGCTCACACAAGTCCCTCCAAAACAAAGACGCAGGCAGTCTGAGGAAGAACCCGGCGACAGCCAGCACGCTCTCGCTCTCGCCCGCCTGCCCATCCTCCCTCCTTCCCTCCCCCCAAGGTAGCTTGTATTCATCTCCCAAAAGGATGGTTAATACAGACAACTGAAAAGGTCCCAGAGATAAGGACCCTGGGCTACCAAGAACCTGACCTCCAACTCTGAGCTCACGAGGTTTTAGGGACACTGCATTCTGGAATGCATGCTATATTCACCTAGCTTCCTCCCACCGTATAAACAACAATCCTACCACTTCACATAGAAAACACCATGTACCAAAGGCAGGAGGTAAGCACCTACATGTCTGAGAGGAAGAAGGGCAGAGAGTGTACATGCTGCCCAGGGCCTCTGCAAGCCAGCTCTGCTGGGCTGAGGACGGCTGGAACTAGGTGAGCAGAGCAGCAAGAACTCCCATCCCTGTACTCTTCCCACACCTAGGGTTTCTGATGAGCACCCCACATAAAGGACATTGCTCCAATGGCCCTGAGTGGAGACGAATACTTCTAAAGGACCACTGCCATGCTGCGTGAGAAACAGTAACCAGCTAACCAGCTAACCAGCTAACCAGCTGTGTTTCCAATGGAGAGCACAGGAATCTGCAGGAAGGTGGTCGTAGTGGATCTATTTATGATCAGCCCGGGGTACCCAAAGACAGACCCAGTGGTACTCAAGCAATGACAGAGCAGACACTATTCCTTTTTTTTTTTTTTTTTGGTTTTTCGAGACAGGGTTTCTCTGTGTAGCCCTGGCTGTCCTGGAACTCACTCGGTAGACCAGGCTGGCCTCGAACTCAGAAATCCGCCTGCCTCTGCCTCCCGAGTGCTGGGATTAAAGGCGTGCGCCACCACTGCCCGGCGATACTATTCCTTATAGTGTGACAATACCTGCCAACCCAGACTGTGCTAACTACTAGGGGCCATCAGGACTCTGGCAACATACTTACGTATTTAAGTATATACAGATGCATGTGTACCCTTACATATATGCATAGTAAATCATACCACACCCAGTGTCTTTTTAAAAAAAAAAATTATATGTATGGGTGTTTTTGGCTGCACATGTATCTGTGTGCCATATGCATGTCTGGTGTGCACTGAGGTCACTCGGAACTTGCATTAGAGGTGGTTATAAGCCTCTATTTGGGTGTGGGGAACAGGGAGACTGTGGAAAGACCCGAGTGACACAGACCACCCTGAGCAGAAGGGGCTGGAAACAGCAGGCCGAGGGCAAGCATGGCTGGAGGGACAGCGCCTGAGGCGTGGTGTTTGAAGTTGCAGGAATTCACAGTGCTACAAGTCCCGATGTCATCTCAGCAGCAGAGGCTATGGCGGCACACCAATCTAGAAGCCAGCATCTCCCACTGCTCTGCAGAACCACCTCGGCCATCAAGAGGCCAGCACAGTCTGAGCAGCCAAAGGAGGGCCTGGTAAAGATAACACTAAAGGCTGCTTTTAGAAACAACTATTTACCCAGTTCCACAAACACAGGCAGTACCAAGAAAGCACAGGCAGCAGGCACACTGCCTGCCTCGTAGGCTCCGCGGGACCTGGCCTGCTGCGGTCTCTACTTACTCCTGTCTAGAATACATGTGTATTTATGGAATGTTTACCTTTTTAAAAACAGTATGTCACGTAAAGAAGTTAGACAAGAGAAACTCGGGGGAAACAGGACCTTTAGGAACCGTGTGATATAGACAGTAGCAGCAAAGACCTCTGGTGGGAACTCACCGAGCCTTTCTCCATGATGCGGTTGAGCATGACCACGCCCCTGCTCTTCTGCTCCCACACCATCTCCCAGAAGTGCCCACATGTGTTTGGTAAAGGGCCCTGAAAACACACAAGATACACACTGTACAACACTGGACACACAAGCACACCAAGCAGTCAGTCAGTGACAATGTTCATAGTCAGGCAGGGTAGCCACCAAGGCTGCATGCCCCGTGGTCAGTCACCCAGTCCCACGTCCCATCATGTGTTGACGGGTCAATCCGCACCTCGGTGCAGGCTGTCCCTGGGTCTGAGCTGACAGCTGAGGGGCTCTACTGGACCTCTTGTCTATGAGCAGGAGAGTTCAGGACAAAGCTCCCATGTGGGTCAGAGGCAGCACAGGGTAGGGCCACCACGGTGCTCTGGCAGTTCTAGACCCTACTTTTAAAATCTGTCACCTTCTAACTTCAGGCAAGTCACTGCCCCCTCTGAGCCGCCTTCTCCGCATAGCCCACTTGATTGAGAGCAGCACCCGTTCTCAGGCTGCATAAGTAACCGTGGTGCTGTATGTAACGGACTCAGCATAGCACCGAGAATGGAGCAAGCACCCAGTACAGAATGAGCCTCCCCCCTCCTCCTCCTTCTTTTAAATATTTATTTATGTAAATGAGTACACTATCTGCTTGTACACCTGCACGCCAGAAGAGGGCACCAAATCCCATTACAGATGGCTGTGAGCCACCATGTGGTTGCTGGGAATTGAACTCGGGACCTCTGGAGGGGCAGTTGGTGCTCTTAACCGCTGAGCCATCTCTCCAGCCCAAGCCTCTCTTCTTACAACTAGTACCAGTGAGTCTAAGAATGGATAGTCCTTAGAGCTGGACCACGGAATGTGCAAGAGATGTGGCCTACAAATGGTGTCAGAGGTCGCCAAGGGGCTCCTAAGACCTGGGCATGACCCGTGCCTGCAGAGCAGCGAGCCCAGCTAGTGACGGTGGGCGCTGCTGGCGTCTGCTTTAGTTGTGAGCCCATGACACTACAGGAGAGCATCCACACCAGGGCTGCTCACAGCTCTGGGTCAGAACCTCTTCTACAAGTCTCCATTCTCCCCCAGTTCCATCCCAGCACAGTCCCTCGTGCCAGCACCGGCATCTTCTTGCTCGTCCCTGAGCACTTCTGTCTGGAAGTGTGAGGCAAGGGCTCTGACAAATGCCACAGAGGCAACTCTTCCCATGGAAACGGCTAGCTTTGTGCAGTTGGATGCCAGGGTACCTGATGGCCACCTGGGTCCTTCATCCTCTGCGCCACAAGGACCCTAGCCCCAGCCTCAGCACGGCTGCAGCTCTCTGTGTCCCCAAGCACCAGCCAGCTCACCGCGGCTTTCAGGGCTTGGCTGTGCCTGTGATGGAGATGAAGGACAGCCCTGCATCCTCCCTCTTCCCAACCTCCAACCTGTAAAGACGAGGCTACCGTGTGGTTTCCATAATGAACAATACTGAACGGAACGCAAGAGTTCTTTATTTGTGGCTTGGAGACGGTTTGGGTCTCCCTGTCAGAAACACTCCTTTGAGATCAGATTGCTTTGATTCTTATCTGAAACACGGCTGTAGAAGCCACTGTAGAAGCCACTTAGGAAGGCTCATGGCACCGCTTTACCCAGTAGAGCATCACAGGACTCCAGGCCACGGTCCAGGGGCAGGGTAGTAGGTAGAGTAGTGCAGGAGATTCTCTACTTCTCTAAACAGGGTCTAACTTTAACCCAGGCTGGCCTGTGGAACTCACTATGTATCCCAAACTACTGCCTCAATCATGTGGCAATTCTTCTGCCTCAGCCTCTCAAATGCAGGGATCACAGGTATGAGTCATGACACCTGGGTCTAGTGAGTGCCGCTTGTGTTGTTAGCAGGGTGGTTGGTTGTGTGTTTGTTTTTAAATCCTGGGAACTGGACCTAGAGCCTTCCTTGCATGACAGGCAAATGCTCTACCACCAAGCCCCAGCTCCTCAGTGAAAATGCTAAGTGCTCATTTACTCATTTGGCATCATATGCCCTACGATGGGTCAACAGCCAAACCAAGTCTCTCTGACCACAACTACAGATGGACGGTTGAAGCCAACAATGTTAACTTCTCTACACAAATTCTCAAGGTTACTGTACCTCAGCTTCTCAGCAGGAGGCCCCGCCTTCCTGAGGAATCTCTGCAGCTTCCCACTCAAACACTGAGGTACTGGGAGGACCCTGGCTGACACCTAGGGAGGTTGGCCCTGGACCCACAGGACTGCAAACAGTCGCTGATACTGCGCACACTGACTGGGGGCTTCTGGGCTGCTTCTGGTCATGCGAAGTGGCTTGGGACAAAGGGAGAAGGGCTGTGGATGACTGCCGGCTCCCAGCCTCCAGCCTCATTGGGACTTGATTTCCAAAAGCCCGCAGAACCATCCTACTCAAACATCCTACAGCCAGGCCATGTTACATGGAATACCAAAGGGAGACCAGGACACACAAAACAGGGCCATGTAAACCACCTTGCAGGTCACAGGCCAAGACTAGAGAATTATTGAAAATAAACTTTTATCCTCTTTCCAGGCACTCACGGTCTTCTGGTCACTCACCGTAGAGTGTTACAGGGTGTTCATCATGCTTTCTCAGAAGGAAGCCCAGAGCTGTGGGATTATTAAGTGATGTCATATCTTCTAATGAGGCCCAGAGGAACACTGAATAGCCCTTGGGACAGAAATGCCTAGCCAACCAAGGGTGTTCTAGCCCTCTTAGTCACTGCCAGAAGCACTCAATGCTGAGATTCATGCCTCTGTGGATTCAATGTCTAGGGTCTTCTCCTCCCCATCAAAAGCCCACTGGCAGCTCAGCGTGCCACCTCACAGTGCTGTGCTCAGAGTCTGAAGTAGGGTGTTTCCTTTCTTGCTGCTGTTTTGATTGATGAGAAGCCTGAACTTCTCACAGACATGATGATCTTCAGGTGACATGGAAACAGTGTAGACAGCCCATTACCTGGGTAAGGATGTAACTCCTCTGGGCTTCCTCCATTTTTATCAAGCTGGCATTGATGTAGTCATTATCTTCCTGGTGCAATTTAATCCGACTGTGGTCAACTGAAAGAAAAGCAGAGCTGGGTTAACCGTGAGGTCCAAGACCTACACTCCACAGCAGAGCAGAGAGAGGGACCTATGGGACATGCACACTGCTGGGGCCACACCGTTACCAGTCAGTCATCTGTGGGGTGACTGATTCTTAGGTTAGCCCTGAATACAGAAATAACACAATCTATGGCAAAAGCATCAACCCCAGACCACGCCCCTCCTTGGTCCTTTCAAGTGACAGACATCAGCCTCCCCAGTCCACAGATCACAGGAGAACGTCAAGAGGATCCACTTCCTGAATGCCTAAGACAGGTTCCCAGAGTCGAGTCAAGTCTCCCATCTGTAAAGGAAGTACTTCCCTAAGAGTGGTCCTGGTTCCGAGACACACGGAGTCTCAGGTGTGGCCCAGGTCTCTGCACAGCCGAGCATTCGCCTCATGTAGGGCAGCATACGTGTGCAATGAAGAGACTCAGGACCATTTAGATGTTATGATCAGTAAGAAGTAAGATTTTTAAGGGAATTTAAACTGTGTGTGGTGGCACGGGCCTTTAGTCCCGGCACCTTGGGGGCAGAGCCAGGTTGATCTCTGTAAAAAGGCCAGCCTGTTCTACATGGCAGAATCAGTTCCAGAGGTGCATGGTGAGACACTGTGTCAAAGGGATGGGGGGTGGGGTGCAGTTTAATGAAGTAAAAACCCTCTCACACAGTAGAAATAAACAGATGTAATTCAAGGGACAAAGTCAGCAGGAAAGCGCTGCCACAGCAGCAGGCTTTTGTTTCTGTTTCACTTACTACTTTGTGACAAGAGCGGTGGCTCCCAAGGGCCATCACTCTTTCCCTGCAGCTGTCACAGGGGCAATTTTTCCTCCCTGCTATAGCATGGGGAAACTGGGAAGACAAATCCTGTCTTTCACCTGAGCCCAGAGGAGGCAGTGGCACTAAGACCAACAACCTGCAGTTTCTGTGCTGAAGACCCTCCAGCTTTCTGCTGTTCCCCACAGTGGGAGGCAGGGGTTGCTAGGTTACTCTAAGTGGGAAAGGAAGAAAGGGGTAGGGGAGGCAGACGGGCAAGTAGACTGACAGAGTCCACCAGGCCTGGTAAACACTCACCTACATTTCCAGCACTTGGGAGGGAGAAAAGATAGTCCTGAGTTCAAGGCCAACTTTGGTGGCTTATAAGTTTGAGTCCAGCCTGGGCTGCATGAGCCTATTTCTCAGGGGGACACTGTAACTGTTGGCCCACATCTAGGACAGCTGGTGGATGTCCTGGGGCACCTGGCAGCGGGGAAGAGGCAGAGTCCCATACTGTCACATTGCTGTCCTTAAGTTCCAGCCAGGACTCCAGAGCAGAATCAACACAGGGCTTTCACTGTGCTACTTTGTTTTCATATACAGTGCCATGTCCTCAGCCAAGGCAAGCTGAGCTGAAAGCAGCAGGTGCCGGGTGAGGTCAGTCACCCATCACCCAAGGACCTCCAAGTACACTTCAAATGGCCTAGGAACAACTGTCTCAGACCTTAGCCATTGTTTACTAACTGCATCCCCGAGGAGCACTCAGCTTAGTGGCTCACTCTGCTGCCTCACCGCCACACACTCCTGCGAGTGGAGTGTCACTCCCACATGCTGACAACCAGAGCCACCAGCATGGCAGACCAAGAGGTACGGGTTGTGTTCTAATCCTACAGCCATTTTATGTCTCCCCAGGAACCTGATCAGCAGCTGTGTGATCTGAGTAGCCACAATCCTTGTTGAGAAATAATGCCCGCAGACCTTGGAGGGAGTCAAGAAACCAGGGAAATAATGACAGACCCAGGTCCTGAGGCTCAGCACTGGCCTTTTTTTTTCTTTCTTTCTCTCTCTCTCTCTTTTTTATTTTTTTTTGCTTTCCATACTTCTTACAGGTTCACATACTTGGAAGGTATTAAAAGCCAGTTAGAAGGCACAGGCTTTAACCAGTGGACACTGCCAGTCCTCAGCACTGAAAGCCAAGAGTACCCATGAGCATCTTTGTGGCTTATCACCAGGCTGACAGCCAATGGCATCGCTGCCGAGTCATCCAGAAGAGGCTGCACACTAAGCCCAAGTCATACCACTTCAAGGGAGGAAAATGACTCACCACAACACAGAGCTAAAAGGAAGGACCTTGAGCCACCAACATTTCCAGAACTGAAGCTCCAGTGTCTTCTGCAACAGTGAAAGGGAGCTATGCACTGTGTCTCCTGTGTTTATAACGGAGACCATGAGGTCATAACCTCAACCCCATCCTTGACAACAACAGGCTGTCACTGGGAAGTGTAAGTGGGGCAGTGGGAACAGTGGGTACTTACAAGGACTGACATCTCGGTACCTGTTCCGGTTTTTGTTCTTAGGAAGTTTCGCTACTTTGCATGGGAAGTCACTGGCTTCATGTCGAATATCCTACAAAAAAGAACAAAGAGTTCTCTTTAGGAATCTACAGCAGGAACCTATCCAGATACTCAATGGAGTACCCGAGATGATGCCAAGCACCAAGGGCAGAGCAGACATCCAAGAGGCCTGGGCAGTGTGGGGAGGACAAGGTGATACGCACAGGTACATAAAAGGGCTACTTGGGAAGGCCCACTAGCAGAAGCAGGGGGCTTATGTCAGAACAGTGAGTGAGTGAGTGGGCAGCAGGGAAGTATGGCAGATGACTGCGGGACGTGGTAGCCAGGCCAGAGCTTGAAGTGCTGGAATGTCAGACCTGGGAGTTGGAACAGTCATGGAAAGGAACAGGACAATAAACACTCCACCATCTAACTGCTGTCCTGAAGGCAAACACCCCATCCCTGCATGAACAGAAGCACCACACAGGCTCGCCCTGCTCTCGCTGGGATACCACAAGTCTCAGGAAGCTGTCTGGGAGCAATCTGCCCATTCACTGGCAATGACAGGCACATGCGCAATGTGCCTATGAATGAATGTGCAATGAAACTGTCCATCTACAAATGCTTTAAACTCTTGACTTTGGGGTTGGTAGTAAAAAAGGGACAGAAAGGGAGGCCATGGCGACAGCAATCTGCAAGCTGGAAATCAGACCCCAGAGACATGCAGGGGCGGCTGTCACTTTGGAAGGAAGGGTGAGACTCCCAGTGAGGTTGGGGGGTTGAGGCCCCCACTGAGCGGAGCAGAGGCCATCCACCCTAGCACCTTCCCTTTGAGCTGCTGTGTCAGCTCGCACTTCTGTTGAAATCTAAGGATGGTTTCTGGAAGCCTCAGCCAGGTCTCTAGATAGCTCAAGTATAGAGTACAGTGCAAGGTGAACGGCGTCCGAGGTGTGGGTGAGCGTCTCGAGCCTGAGCTCAGGCCTTGCCTTCCGTCCTTCACTTGAGCTCACACAGGGCTGCAGCAGCACTTCCGTCCTAGGTGGAAGTCTTCAGATGATCTGACCAGACAGCAGGAAGCACCAAAGGCCAGGGTCAGGGCGTGCCCATTTGCTCAGTGCTCAATCTGCCTGAGGGCCTCTATTCTCCTCACAGACACAGATGCCACTGATGGCAGACTCATAAAGTGTCTGCGGGAAAACAAGGGCCAGGGAAGAGGCCCTCAGAGGACAAACTACGGAGTTCAGAAAAATTGAGAATAAATACCTCTGACGTGCAAGATCTCATATTTAGCCAGTAGGAACAGGGTGCTACGACAAACTAAACAACACTGTCTTTTGTGATGTAAAACAATAGCAACAACGGAAAGAACAGCCACCCTGAAGGAAAGCCAAGGACAGTAGATCAAATCAGCTAGAGTGAAACACAGGTAAGGAGAACCTAGACAATTCCACCAATCTCTCAGGCCATCAAGTACCCACGAGAACAATACAAACAACCCATTCTAGGGACTATGCAGCTCCAGAGCCTGAGAGGCAGACACCATCGTGGAAGAGGGCAGCAGAGCCTGACTGTAAGCTACCAAGTAAGGAGCCAACCTTCTCCATTCTGAGGAATGCTCATTCCATGCTGGAATTCAATACCCTGCCCAATGGTCAAATGAGAAGGGCCAATGAAAGCATCCCTTACCATGCAGGCCTTACGCCTCACCCCTGTGTATGTGCACACTCTCCACTCACATGGGCCTCACGCCTCACCCCTGTGCATGTGCACGCTCTCCACTCACACAGGCCTCACGCCTCACCCCTGTGCACGTGCACACTCTCCACTCACACAGGCCTCACGCCTCACCATCTACATCTCCTTTTTAGCATGTTTTTCCACCCCAGTGAGAAAAAAAAAGCCAAACCATGAAAGACGGGGAAAGAAACACAATGGAAAATGATGGCAAGGGACGTTCCATGGAAACTGGAGGCTGAGGGACTCTCGCCAACATGACAAGACAGCAGCACCAAGCTTGCCTTCTCCAGCACACTACCTGTAGTCACAGACTACCTGTGACTACCGCACCAGACTACTCAGGGAAATGGAATTAGACCTGAATCTAGCCAACAGAGGATTCCAGTTGAGGGAGGCGAAGAAGGGTTTTAGAATCTGCATGAGAGCTATACATGGCAGGCCTCCAGAGCTACCTCAGAAGAGAGGCCTTAAGCTGAATGACTCCACGGAAACCTGAGAGTCTGAACTGATCACAAAGCTAGTATTAAAATAAAACCATGGTGAGAGGACACAAAAGGGCCCAAGTGTCAGTCATGGTGGCCATGGACGCCTGTAACGCCAGTACTCAGAGGCTGAGGTCAGCCTGAACTAGACAGCTAGAGCCTGTCTCAAAGAATCCAAATGATGCCAGGCACCAAGATGCATACCTTTCATCTCAGCACTCTAGGGGCTGAGGCAGGTGAATTGCTATGGGTTTGAGGCCAGCCTGGTCTACAATAATGAGACCTTGTCTCGAAACAGAACAAATGAACAAGCATAAGCAGAATGATAATCTTGTATTTAGGGACACTCATTCCTACCACTGCTCAAGTGTCTCTCACAGGTAGTCAGAAATACCAACGAGGATGACCAGCTGACTCACCTCAACTTGAGATCTCCATTTCTTTTGGAAGTAAACAGGTAGAAAATCAAGTCCGGCCGCACAGAAACATTTCCATGTTTTCACAGAATACTTTGCTAAGTCAAACTGCAGTGCTGGCTTTAACACATTGCTTTATTCCCATGCAGTGAACGACTGCTTCTCGCTCCATGGTAGAATGTATTACCTGTTTAAAACTCTCTGCCACAGGGAGGAGCAGGACAGCTTCCTGAAAGCAGTCAAGTGTCCCTTAAGAGTGAAGCCCTCACCTCTAATCCGAGACCAGGGCCAGGGCAGGCCCTCGGCATAGCCTGCTGACCGATGGAAAGGACGGTGCTAATACCGTAAGTGTACAGCTCGTGACTACACCAGCATGCTTCCCGGCACAGGGTGGAAATGCCCCGGAGGGAACACGCATCCGAGAACACCCATCAAGCCCATCCTAACTGCGGCAGAATGCAGGCTGCTGGGGTTTGGTTTGGCTTCTGCAATTGTCGCACATAGCCTCCTGACAAGATAATACCAAACTGGTTACTAAAACAGACACTAAAGCAAAGAACAGAGAGTAACTTTCTTCGGTGTGGAGCTACAGGCAACCTGTCCATTCCAATAATTAGCCCTCACCCAGGCTCATGCAAGCAACGCTGATTAAACTCAAGGGACCATAAAAAAAAATCCCTCAAAACGCAAAAATAGGAGGGGAGGGGTCTTACTGGGAAGGTGGCTCTGCAGGAGGGGGAGGAACTTCCAGGCAGCACCGAGAGTGAAAGTGGTCAAAAAATATGTAATACATCCGTGTGAAACTGTCAATAAATTAAAAACAAAAAACCCACATGTAAGTAGAACTCAGGGACTACCAAGTCCCTGTCACTGGCCAGTCTCCACTCCTCTCTAAATGGTTGTCTGAGCTGAGGGGCTGGGCTGTTACTTGATGATGTGGGAAGATACTGATTCTCAGAACAGTCAGCTGAGAGACTGAATGAAGGACAGATATACTGGATAGCGGGGACGGACAGGCAAGCATTTCCTGGAACCCAGGCACAGCCATGGCTAAAGAGCACACAGAGAGGCACTTGTCTCTGGCTCACCCAAGATTCTGTACACCTCAAAGTAATGAGTGCAGAGTAGATTTTATTAACTAAGTCTCATTAGAAAAGATAACAAAGCATTTATGTGGAGTAAAGAACAGTCAAAATGTACAGATCATTAGAGGCTAGCTTTTGAATGGAAGACAATACTTTCTTCTTTGTATTTTGCTTTGTTTTGTTTGTGAGACAGGTACTTACTTAGCCCAGGCTAGCCTCACACTCCCTACAAAGCAGAGGATCACCTTGAAGTAACCCCAGCCAACAAGTCCTGGGAGTACACACAAGCACACCCGGTTTATTGGGCAGCAGGCATGGGACCCAGCTCCTGTGACTGCTAATGAAGCTCCACCCCCAGGCTGCTTTCCTTTCCACACACAGAAGTTAACAATATAACTTACCGCAAAGCCTTAAGAAACGGTGAGATGTAGTTTTATGGACACCTGCCTGGTATGCAGGAGGCCCTGGGCTTGATTCTAACTCATTCTAACTCAATAAGCTGGAAAGGAACCTCTGTTGGGGACAGCAGGACAATTTCATGTACCTCTACTCTGAAGCCCCAGTTAATTATATTTAGAAAAACCACAGAGTCTAGGCTGCAACTGAGATGAGAAGCAGCAGCGTGAAAGGCCAGGCTCTCCCCGGGCCCTCCACACTGAACCGGCCTGCTGAAACCTCAGGACCTACTCCAGCAGACAACTAACGCTTCAACCAGAAGACAGTCTGCGCTGGACAGTCCAGGACTTAACCACCAAAGCTAAGGAACTGTGGACTAAGAAGGCAGAAGTGAAGAGTCACCAGACAGCCAAAGCTTAGGAGGCTGAGTGACTACAGGGGCAAATTCCCAGGCTGCAACCGCAGTTCCACAGCAGAGGTGGGTGTGGCTGGTGACAAAGCTGCATAGCAGCAGCAGCGTCAGAGTGGCTTCCAGAATGCACTCCAGAGCTTTAGCATGGGGCTGGGCAACAGTCTTCCTGCCTGTACAGCTGCTCAAAACACCAACTCTTAAAAATACCAAAGTGACCTCTTTCACTACTGATGACACCTAGCCATTTACAAGAACAAGCCACTTACATAATCATGTTAACAATGACTTCTGGGCTGCTAAGGGCTGATGTAGTTTTAGCACTGAGAATAACAGCTTTGAGAGGCTGAACTAGCTGGGGTGTGAGGAGCACAATCCAGGGTCCTGACTGACAGGGTGGATCTGAATGAACTGGCCTAACGCTGGTGAGGTGCCCCTGGCCCTGCACTGCATTTAGAAGCAGCAATCTGAGTCCAGTGCAGCCGGCCACAGCGTTGGGGGTGCCACTTACCTTACACAAATTACACCAAGAATTAGGATGACGTGCT